TTTTTTGATTGAAAAATGTCATAATGTATTTAATGTCACGTTTTTTCACTAAAATTTGAAATGACAGGCTAATTAGTTATTCATTCTTATTTATTCGAGACATTAATAATATTTTTAATTACTAATTTATATTCTTATTCAATAGTAAGTTGTTCTAGTTTAAATCTTCTATTTTATAAAAATTTAAAATAGAAAATTTTAAATATAAAACTAAAAGTTAAATTTTAAATATTCGAAATTTAAAACCGAAAGTTAAATATATATATTTTTTTATTTTTTAAATGCCAAAACAACTATTATAAATTTAACATATATTCAAATTATTATTTCTTTATACTATTCCACCAGCACATGCGGCTGTTTAAAATTTAATTTACGCACTTCAATTATACACCGTATAAAATTTCAACTTCAATTAAAAAACAAATCGGTATAACAATCGGGGCTTCAATGAATATTGAGCCCAATAAATGAATCGGCCCACAAAAAACAACCCAAGGCACGTAACTTAGAGAAGCGCCAGTTACGGAATGGGTTGTTTCAAACTATTGATCAATTCACGCATAGCAAATCTCAGGAGTAGTCATGTATTCGGCCCAATTATTCGTTCACGATCTCACTTGTAATGTTCAAGAATTATCAATAGAGCTCCCCTATGGGCTATGGGTCTTCTTTGGTTCAATTGGTTTGCCATGTGAATTCGTTCCGCCTCTAAATGGATGTTAGTGTCACTATTACGGATGCTTGATAATGTTTATTAGTTTGTGTATTTTTTGATCATTTAATAAAATAAAATATTCTTATCACTTCTTATTTCGAAATTTGTTTTGTTGTATTTTTGAATAGTGTAATTTATACCTTTTCTTTTTATAGTACCAATTTATAATTAAAATGATTTTAGATTCAATGGAATTTTACACGTTGTTTAGAGTATGATATTCATTGTGAGACGCTGGGAGTACTACGTAATATTATTGGTTCTAAATGAGGCACTTAAGATGTCTCGTTTGTAAAACTGACAATTCTTATCTTTCTAACCCGCATAGAACCTTTTGCTTCGTCCGACCCCAACCGACTCATATTTCCTTTAATTGCGCTCTCAAACTAAGTCAATTTTGGGGTCAAATTTTTGACCCCAAAATCTACTAAATTTGGGGTGCAGTTGAAAGGGGACCAGGGGTCGGTCCGGATCGGCTTGGGAGAGGGATTTAGGAGGACAGAGTTAGTTTTAGGAACGTAAGTGTCCAAAACTCCCAATTAGAGCTAATGTCATACTATGATATGAGCCTCCAAAGGTCTGTGGTCTTTTTATAGACTTTAGTGCATTAATGTCATAAAAGATTAGGTCAGTATTTTGAAAAAAAAGATTCACCTGCCAACCCAATAACATCTCCAATCTGGGAGCTATTTAAAATTTACTTCTAATAGGTAGATTACAATAATTCAGATCATATAACATCAAAGAAAAAGTAGACTATCTATAATCCAATGTACATAAAAAATCTTATGTCAAACAACTCAAAAAAGAAATTAAAATTTGACTTCAATATTTCAATGTCACATTCTCAACTAATATGCCATAGACACAAAAGCAATTGAAGTATCTAGCTAATTCAAGTAATTACATTAATTGAAATTTGACTTCTATATCACATTCTCTAGTAAAGCACAAATTAAACATAATTAAAATTAAAGTTCATGACTTTAAGTAAATAAAAGAAAAAACCTTAAGATTACGTTAGGTGGCATGTGGACGGCGATGGCGAGGCAGCGACTCGGTGTTACGGCAACGACGAGTGGATGCCGACAAGTTATGAAACGAAGAGGGGACATCGACGACGATGAGTAGTGCTAAAACAACAAGTAGATGATGAGTGGACGGCGATCAAGGCTAAAACGATGAGTGGATGACGACAACGAATGCTCTAATGACGACGACGAGTGGAGGGGATTGGAGGACGGCAATGTTGGAGACAACAACGGTCACGGCAGAAGGTGGAGACAACATCGGCGACAACGACGGCTTTGGATGAAGGACGAAGGAGCTGCTATTGGTTTGGATGAACGCGTAAAAGATGAGGGCTAGGTGGTTAGCTTCAATAGAGCTTTTTGCATCAGTTATTACTAATAATCGATGCAAATACCTTTTGTATAAATTATTAGTAAGAACGGCTGCAATACACTAAACTTTATTACATCCGTTATTACTAATAACTGATGAAAAACACTACAAAAAGTTCACTATTTGTAAGAGGGTATTTGTGGCAAAATCATGTTACAAAAAGTATTTGTCACCAATTTTGATGCAAAAAAGTATTTGTGGCAAAAATGCGAAAAATGAAGTGAAATTCTATCACTGTTTGACGAAAAAAAAGTAAAAATAGAAAAAGTTTTTAGGACCGGAAGAAGTATTTATTTTTTTATATTTTTTGTCCTTTTTGTCTTGAGGCAACGAACTCTCATTTAAGCACATTAGCAAATTAATTGTATCGAAGAGCAAGTGAATAATTTAGTGTCATTCATTGTATCTCAAAAGTTCTATCTTGTAACTCTTGTTTCTTATACTAGGCCAGTAGATAAGAAACTTTTAAAAAAGTACACATCATCATTGATCACGAGCTTTGAAAATTCGTCAAGTTAATACTATACCGGTAGATTAGAAATTATTCTAAACTACGTGTGACTTGATACCTTTATTTGGCTATCTAGACAACTTAAAGTATGTTATTTTTCTAAACACAGCCACAAGAATAGAATTATTTTATATTGATCTAACAATATTAAATCCTAGCGAAGAGTCTACTCCGTATTAAGTAAAGTCTATGACAGAAAACTAGTCTATAACTTGATACTCCGTATAAAAAGTTGAATAGAGTAGGATCTTAGGCTTCAAACACCAAATTAGAAAATCTCTTTTTAAAAAGACTTGATGAAAAAGAGAGTTAAAATTAGAAATTTTATCTCTAGACTCTACCTTTTCACCAAATCTTATTTATAAACTTCAGGTTCGAGCTACCAAATTTAAAATTCTCATTTTTAGACTTTAGATTTGGAGTCTAGCTAGATATTCTAAAACCAAATAAATCTTTGGTTCCAAAAAAATATCACAGTTCACTTTTTAAAAATCATATTCTTTTTGTTTGCATATTATTTAAATATGTATTTAATAATATAAAATATTCTTTTAACCTCTTGTTTTGAAAAATTTTTGACGTAGTTTTTAAATATGTAGATTTTATTTTTCAATTTTTATACAAATCTTAAAATAAAATGATTTTTAAAAACTTAAAATTTTGTTTAGTTTTACATCATAAAAAAATATAAGAAGTATTTTTTTTCCATAATTTATGGTAAAAGAAAGTCACATTTCAACAAAAAAATCAAAACTAGAACCTTTTTATTGCAACAGAGGAAGTAACTTAACATTCCCTCTGCCCCTGAACTTTTTATCTATTTTGACTTGTACCCCCTCCGTCCCAAAAAGATTTACACCTTTCAAAGAAATTGTGTCTCACAATCTCCTACCCATTTCTATTAAAAAACCACTTTTACCCCTTACTTTTTCAAACCCTACCTATCACATCATACCTTTTTCCTAATAATCTACACATCACATCCTACTTTTACACATCACATCAAGGATATTTTTGGAAAGTCAACACGAATTTATCCCTCCCTTAATTTCTACTTTAGTCAAAATGGGTAACACTTTATGGGACGGAGGGAGTATATAGTACTCCCTCCGTCTTAAAATGTTCTTCCCCGTTACTTTTTACACGGTCAAACTTTAATCACTTTCTATACCTATTTTCATTAGAGATTTGATAAAATTATATAGTCTTGTCACCACTTGTTTTGTTGAACTTTTAATTTAGTTTTTAAATATTTAAATTTTATTTTTTAATTTTACACCTATAATCAAATAAATTGAACTGAAAAAAATAAAGTCAGTCAAACCTCATAAACACAAATGGAAAGAACATTATAGGACGGAGGGAATAAGATTTAAGGGAGAAATATTTTTGGTTGAATTCTCCAAATTGTTCTTGATGTGATAGGTAATTATAGTTTTTTAGTAAAAAGATACTCCAATCGTCTCAGTATATTCGTTTAGTTTGACTTTTTTGAGTCAAATTAGATGAATCTTAATCATCAATTACACTGAAGTTATATTGTGTATTAATAAAATAAAATAAACTTTGAAAGTTTTCAACAAGATAAATCTAATGAAGTTGATACTAATATAAATAACTTCATCCGTCCTATAAAGATGTTCCCATTTTAAATTTTAGAAAATTTAAGAAAGATATTTTTCTGTTGACTTTCCAAAACTAACTTTGATGTGATAGATAAATGTAGGATGTGATGAGTAAATTATTAGTAAAAAAAATATGATGCAATAAGTCAGTTAAGAATTTGTAGGAGTAAAAATAGATTTTAATAGAATTGATAAGAATTTTGTGGGACAAGAAAAAAGGAAAAGGGAAGGAGTTTTCGCGACGGATGGAATATTATTTTATTGAATTGAGCTTCAAAGATTTTGATATTTGACTTGAAAAAGTCAAACTGAATGAAGACTTTCAGACGGAGGTGGTATGATGTACTCCCTTCGTTCTTGAAAAGAGTTTCACTTTTGACCAAGTGGTAAAATAAGGAAATGTTAAATTGTACTCCCTCCGTTTGGAAAAACACTTCCCATTTGGATTTGGGGCAAAAATAAGGAAGTTTTAAATTACAGTTGATTTCCAATTTTGTCCATGATGTGATGGGTAAAAGTAAGATGTGATGGATAGATTATTAGAGAAAAAGTATGATGTGATAGGTAGGGTATGAAAAAGTAAGGGTAAAAGTGGTTTTTTAATAGAAAAGAGAAGTGTTTTGTTGGAAGTGAAAAAAATGAGAGAGGAAGTGTTTTTGAGGAGGGAGAGAGTAGTTGAATTCTAATTAAAAGTTCTAAAACCTAACTACGGACCGAAAAAAATGCAAAGGAAAACTTAAAGACAGGAAGTAAATGAAAGCGTGATATGAATTCAGGAATGAAGAAGACAATAAACAAATCAAACAGTTTGGTCCGACAACCACACAGCAATGGAACAATGTCGTCCACAGTACGTAATTAAGTAGTCTTTGGATCTTGAAACACAGACAACATACATACAAATGCATGCTTAGAAAAACACTCCCATTTTATATGACGAGAGTTTTAATTCCAAGAAACTAATAATTAATCAACGGCGTAGGATGGATCGATGAGGAGTGTGGATATAATCGACCATAATAACAAGCGTAAAAATAATAATAAATCAATAACGAGACACACCCAGATTTGCTGGACCCAGAAACCCTTCTTTCATCAGCACATCATCCCCTTCCTGCGCACATTTTTTAATCAATAATGAAGTTAAGGTATAAGAAACAGAAGAGTTTTTTTTCTTCTTAGGGTTTTTTTTTTAAATTGCAGATTTGAAGAAGGAAAAAAAAAGAGAGAGAAGATGAAGTGCCCTTGGGTAGGGTTTGAAGAGAGAGAGAGAAGGGGGTGGGGGGGGGGGTGCCCTACCTGTTGGCATGCGTTGGGTTTATTCACGGGCTGATCAGGCATGAGTCCAAAATGAATGTGAGGGAAGTGGGCCCACTTCACAGACACCAACAAAATTTGAAAAAAAGAAAAAAAATTACCAACAGACATCAATCAAGAATCAGGAAAATGAAAGTAAACCCTAAGGTAGATATAGATAGATATAGCCAGAAGTGCAGCGAAGCTAATAAATTTAGGGAGTAGGTTAAAGGCTGCCTGCCTGCGGGCAGCAGGGGCAGGGGCAGCTGAGGCCGGACAACAAAGTAACTCGAACCAACCAAACATAATTAGTCACATCATACAACAAGATGGACTCTGTAGAATTTATTCTCAGAATATCCATCTATAAAAAAAACATTATTTTTGGTTACATGAATTATGGAAGAAAAGAAAGTAATTTTTTTCCTTATTGTTTTCAACATAATGGCAGGAAATATTTTCTTCCACTTCCTCTCTTTTTTGTTTCTAAGAAAAATTATTTTGGATCTCTCTCTTTTTTTTCTCCCCTTTCCTTTCAACTTATTTAGACATCCCAAAACATACTGCTCACTTACGAGTATGTTACTTCATCCGTTTCTGTACATTTGTGGTTGAGTTTTCAATTTTTTTCTTGATGTGATGGTAAAAGTAAGATGTGATATTATTAGTGAAAAATATGATGTGATAGGTAGAGTAAGAAAAAATAGGAATAAAAGTGATTTTTTAATAGAAAGTGGAAGCTAAGTATTTTCAGGAAAATAAAAAATAAAAAGGGAAGTGTTTTAAGATCGGAGGTAGTATTTTTTTTGTTATTAAGAAACATTTGACTTGCAAAATTTCTCTTCAATCTAAATAAATTATAACCACACACATTTTATATTTTTCAATAATTTTTTTTTTAAAAAAATAACATGAAAGGCAAACAAAGTTTGAAATGAAATAACCAAGTGTGATCTAGTGTGAAACCACAATTAAATGGGAGAATGTAAAATTAATTACTACTAAAATGGAATGGAAGGGAGGGGGGCATATATGGTACTTACATTCTTAGCAGCAGCACTGAAGGCCTCCCTGTGGCTAATATCAGGGTTTCCTGCTTTGATACGCTGGATCTCATCCCTGCACCATTCATTCATTCATTCACCATTTGGAAACGTCTTTTCACCCCTTTTATTTTATTTTATTTTATTTTTTTAGCTCTTTTTTTTATTTCTATTATATTGTCTCTTGGGTATTCTCATGTGTTCATTCATTCATTCATTCATGCCTACGTACCTCCCTACACACTTTTTTTATTTACCATTACTTTTTTACCTTTCATATATGCATGCATATATGTATATGCAGCATATATACTTATATATAATTAAAGATACAAAACATTATTTGAATCATTAAAAACATAATGCGTACTTGATGAAGCGGTTGTAAGCTGATGGCACCCTCTGTCTCTTCTCCGGGGCTGAAATAATGAAGCAACACACACACACACACACACAGAAACAAACAAACCTTAAATTCCATTGCACAATACATACATATATGCATGTATATGTACGTATATATGTATGCATATGTATGTATATATATGTACTCACTTAGATTTCAAGTCCACCCTACATACCCCCCCACCTACACAAACCCACACCCTAACATCTTCATCATTAACCAATAATGATCAATATTCAATGTTCATCTAGATTTTAGGTTTGCATTCTCCTAATGATGATGATGATGATGATGATGATGATGGTCATCATATTTCATATCATCATCATCCAGATTTTAGGGGGGGGGGGGGGATCTGATCAATCCCAGTCATGAAAATCACAAATGCACACAGTGAATTGAAAGTTGCCCCCAAAGAGAAACAACCCAAACACACTTTCCTACATTATTTACCACATTTTCCCACTTCTAGCTTCCTTTTACAATTCAAGAAAGTAGTGGCCACTGTATGTGTGGGGAAATCTATCTTCACCTGTATATATAAACAAAAACTTTTCTCACTCTCCCTTAATTCATCTTCCTTTTCAGGGTTCCATTCATAATTTACCCTATCTCACAAAAATGAGTTACCACTTTAATTAAATCAATATGGACATATATATACAATTAGTTGGTTATATATATACTTTTAGTTGATGAGACCATACATATAAATATTTCGTTACATTAGTTATTTTAATGTACAGCTAAGGAGAAAATTGAATAAAATACAGACATGTATGTACAGGGGTGCTGTAGATGAACAAACATTGAATTTGGAGAAAAGATGTAGCAGCTAGAGTTTGTGATTAAATGCATGCTACGTTTTTAATGGAAATTAAATGTTGATTGAATCCCAATTTCTTCTGTTGATAGCTATACTAACACATTGCTACTGTTAATCAGAAAGGCTACTTTGACTTCCTCCATTATTATTCTTATTTTCAAAACCACATGCTCTTATATAATTTATTTATTTTAAAAACTACCCAGGCTTCACAATAATTAAATTTAAATTGCAGCCATATATACACACACACACACACATAATCTCATCACCGATTTAAAAGATATGATGAGATAAATTATGCTACAAATTTTGACAAACTCAAGAAAACCCTTTAAATCCAAGAAATGAAAACGGAATTTTTGTGCAAAAGAAAAAAAAAGGGAAAGGGTTTGTGAGATGATGAAACCATATATACGTACGTCTATTAGCCACAGGAGGCTTAGGAAGTTCATCAAACCCTCGGATCGGCAGCATCGAGTCGTTATAGTTAGGCGGGTTCATCAGCAGGCCCGGCGGAGTGTTCCGAATCTCATCCTACACATGGCAATAACAACAGAAAAAAGTGATCGAAATCGAGTACCAAAAACACACTTTGTAAGAAAAACAAAAGTAGGTAGTAAACCCTAGATCAAGAGATGGATCTTAGCTAGCTTAGCTAGGTAAATATATATATACAGACACTTGAGTAATTACCAGGAGATTCTGGGGAGTAAAGAAAGAATGGGGAAGGTGAAGCTGGTTGGAGGCGGGCTGGAGGAGGAGGGCACACATGTTGACGGAGAGAAGGTTGGTGCAGTGGCCGCAACGAACCGCCACCGTCTTGAACATGCTCGAGCATGGCACACTCACCTATCATTTCATTCATTCATTAATTCAACAAAAAAACACTAAAATTTGCTTTGATCTAAGCAATAATCACTTGAGGGTGATATATAATTGTATGTAGTGGTAAATATATACGGCGAGGACGATCTGGCAGTAACTACAACGGACGTAGCAGAGCTCCTCGCCGGCGGGGGATAGGTGGTGGTGGTTGTTGTCGGGAGCAAAAGCGGGGGTGGTGATGGTGGAGGAGGGGGAGGAGGAAGAGGAAGAAATGGAAGAAGACATGGTGGTTGTTATTAGGTTTTGGTGATGGAGATGATAATAGGGTGATGATGATGGGATAGGGATATGGCGGCCCTCAACTCTTCAATTCAGTGATTTGATTGATTGATTTGAGTAGTGACTAAACGAGGGATAGTCACAAAGCTTTGCTTTGCTTTGCTAAAGGGCATTCTCTCCTCCTCCTTTCTCCACACACTATATAGCACTCCTTGGCCCGGACCGCATAGCTCAGCTGGTCAACAAAGATACAAAAATACATTTTCGTTTCGGTCAGATTTGACTTCCCACGAAACCCATTTTAGATTTTGTTACAATTCCATTTAATTTTTTTCAGGCAACTATCGAGATCAGAATATAAGAAGCCTAGCCTAGAATATGGTTCATACTTATTCATATATACTTCCTTTGTCTCATAAAAAATTGAGTTTAATTTTAAGAAAAATGACTAAATTATTACTCCATCCATTTGGAAAAAGTGTTCCCATTTTGATTTGGGGGCAAAAATAAGGAAATGTTAAATTATAGTTGATTTCCAATTTTGTCCATGATGTGATGGGTCAAAGTAAGATGTGATGGATAGATTATTAGAGAAAAAGTATGATGTGATAGGTAGGGTATGAAAAAGTAAGGGTAAAAGTGGTTTTTTAATAGAAAAGGGAAGGGTTTTGTTGGAAGTGGAAAAATGAAAGAGGAAGTGTTTTTGAGAACGGAGGGAGTAGGATAAAATATAGAGAAAGTATCAAAATAAAAATTTCATGTTCTTTTATTTCTAAAATAAGAGTACAATGTTAATAATAACAATGTATAGCATCAAGAAATACGGTGTAATCCATATATTGGTGATAAATGTTAATTTATATTTTACTTCTATTTAGAATGATTTCTTTTAATTTTTTGTAAGTTATCAAATATATTGAAAAATAAAAAACATGGTTAGAATTTGGTAAAAAGAAAGAAATTGTCATAGCCACAATTAAAAAAATTGAAATCTTTTTAAGACAAATTAAAAAAAGTAAAAATGTTTTATGGAAGGAATAGAGAAGCATTATAGCACCCCTCCCATCTCATCTCTCTTTTAATGAATGGTTGTTGTTTTTTTTTTCTTTTTTAACTTTAACTTTTGCAGTTTGCTTTTAGATAGGCTATGTCGTCCGTCTCTAGGTCGCTGGAACTCATAAGATAGATAGATAGATGCAATCTATGGTAGGGTGTCACGACAATTAAGTACAAAAAGGATAAATGTGATAGAAAGATACCCCCAAATTAAACCCACTGACTGCTATAAGAAATTTTTAGTTAGCAGATGCTCCTACTTACGCATTTTACTATGGGGAAATGCGTCAAATAAATGTCTTTCAATAATTAATTAAATATATTCCATATATTAGTATTAAATAACCAAATTTAATCGCAACGGATCCACAATTATTTTTTATAAGCAAGTCCCGAATATAAGAATGAATCACAAAATAAAAACAATGGATAAAAATTTAGCGTTTTGAAAAGACTATCTATAGACACCGTTTAGCGGTAGCATTTTTTTAAATAATCTACACCGTTGAAACTTTATCCAAATGACTAACGCTAATCTCAAACTCTATTCTTAAACAGACCCTAAGAAGTTATTCCATCCGTCTCAAAATAATATTTCCTATTCGAACGACATGCAAAATCTCGAGATTTTTAAATTGATCTTATATAAAAATAAATACTCCGTAACAAAATTTGAATATTTAAAAACTGCATAAAATATACTCCATCCGTCCCATAAAACATTTCCTGTTTCAAAAAAGGCGTGTCCTTAAAATGAGTAATTTTGGTGTTATTTTCTAATTTTGCCCTTACTTTATAAAAGAGTAGGATGAGATGTGTAGAATAGATTAGTCATAATTAAAAAATAACACTAAAATTACTCATTTTAAAGTCATGCCATTTTTTAAACAGGAAATGTTTTATGGGACGGAGGGAGTATGTAACCATCATTCATGAATCTATCAATCAATGAATTCGCCGAATTAAGATTAAAAAAACTGTGAAAATATAAAATAGGAGTCCTAGGTTATTAAAGGCTAGACTAGGAGTTCACGCTACCATGATTACACTGTCACACTCATCACATTGTGACAATGTAGTTGCCACGTACATTATCACTGCGACACTGCCATCCGTCACTGCTGGCCACCAAAAGTGTCATCGCTAATTACCGACAGTTGACTGATCACACTGTCATCACTTTTCCATCACACTGCCAACGTGTACTCTTAAATCACACTACCATTGTACTCTAATTAAGGACTCCGATCTTATTATAGTAATTTCATATTGTTTACTCTTGTCTAGGGAGACTTTTTCTAAACCTTAATCTTTCTCTATCTCGTCTCTTTTGTTCTTGGAATTTCAATCCGTAGATTTTTTCTAGGAAATATATTTTTGTCCAATTTAAGTAATATTATACTCCACATTTAGTAGTAATAGCCAAACCAAACCATGGAAATGTACAGAGTAATAACTGAAAATTGTTGAATACAAATGTACAACAATATTTTGTTTTTTTACACAATTTGATAATAACTTGTCTTATTCAATAACGAAAATTTCACACACATATATGGACTATATAAGGGGGTATTATTTTAATTATAATAGAATAAAAATTATGGAATTAATAGAATAAGGAAGACAATAAGTAACAATATCTTGTTTCCTAACTATTATCCCATGTAAGCTCATCAATGCTAACTAGAGAAGCCTAGAGCATAAATACTAGAATTGAGCTGGTGGAAGTAGTTTCCTAAGAATGTCGGTGAACTTCACACAACAGAACGTGATGAGTAGTCATGGTGCTGACCATGACCTCGTTGTGTTAGAGTGCATCCCACATCGGAAGTTCAAGAGTAAAATAACCGGTATATAAGCTCTTGAGTTAGACTAACTAATCGATTGGATTCAATCTTTTAATGTGGTTCAACCCAAGTGTCTTATTGCCCAATCCAGTTGTCCATACCCCATCCTAAATTCTATCATGGTATCGGAGCCAGTTTTAGCCCACCTCGTTTGTCAAGGTGTCCGTCTAGACGTTCATTCCTAGCGGCCCGTTAGTCTTTAGCCCAGTTGTCCGTATGGATGTTGTACCCAACGGCCTGTGGCCTGTTTAACGCGATTGCTCGTCTGGAAGTCCATACCACCCAAGGGTCGTATTGCCCAATCCAGTTGTCCATACCCCATCCTAAATTCTATCACGTTGTGTCCAAAATGACAATCAGAGACGATATGTCTCATCTATCATATCATGTGGAACTGGATTCTTCAATTCGTAACACCAATAGTGGATTCATTATCACAATAGTTCTAAGGTTTTGAAAGAGGATTGCTTATAGCATGGGTAATGTACCACAACCACACAACTTCAACCACTCCCAGCTCACAGCGTTCCATGGCACAATATTGTCTTAGTTGAAGAACAAGAAACACAAGTTTGCTTTTTCGTACATGAAGTTAGATCCATGCATTAGAATGTTGCCAGTGGCTAGTAATTTTTTTATCATCTATGTCATTGCCTTAATCAGACTAAAGAGATATCTCAAGTCCACTCCTCCCCCTTCCAAAAATTAAGACCAGTAGTGTACCTTTTAAATATGGGAGAGTGTGCTGCAAGGCGTGATAGTTTTATTTTGTTGGGTTGTGCATTATCGGAGATACCCGACTAACAACATTCAAGATGTCTGAACAAGTAACATGCAGATAGTGTAGACCACCAATAATGTTGCAGAAGAGAATCATGCGATCCATACATCATGCAAACAACGTTAGAACTTGCCGAGCTGTCATAGGAGACGATGTTTGCAATCTCACATTACTTCTCGTCATAAAAGATCAATGGTTTGATGAAGTAGAATGGAATATTTGGTACAATGTACTTCAATACTATTAGGAAGTATAATTAAATTAGGATACTTCTTTCCTTTCCTACTACGATTATTCTTTCCTTTCCTACTTGTACTTTGATTACTCTTGTATTCCCTATATATAGGGCCATATCTCTCAATATTTAATAAGACAAGCTATTATCAAATTGTATCATGGTATCGGAGCTAAGGCTCTCAAAAACCTAGCCTCTCTATTTTTCCGACCGCCGCCCATCATGCCAGCCCCGTCGGATCCTTTGGCGTCTTTACCCTCCGGAGTAAAACTTTTGCTTCGGAGTCTCCACAACTTAATCCCAGAAAAACTCACCGAAACAAATTATCTGGCATGGTCTCTCAATGTCCAGACAGCTCTTTCAGCTAATCTCCTCCTTGGATGGATTGATGGTCATGAAGCAGCCTCGGCGCCAACTATCTCCAAAAACGATAAAACCGTCCCTAATCCAGAGTATACCTCCTGGACCATCGTTGACACACAGATCCGCGCCTGCATCCTAGCGGTCATCAGCCCCTCCGTTCACAAACATGCTCGCGGCTTCACCACATCTGCTGCCCTCTGGGATGCTTTGGCCGCACGGTACAACTCCGTGTCCACCGCTCATGTTTATCACCTTGAAAGAAGAGATCCCTGAACGTGATGTGGTGAATGCTGTTATTCGTGGTCTTCCCACCGAATACTCATCCTTTAAGCAAAACATTCGCATGAACAATACCAATATTTCGTTAAATCAGCTTTCTGGATGGCTGATCTCCGAAGAAATAAACCTGGAGATGGAGAATAAACTCAGCCTCACCGAGTCTACCATCACCGAACCTCGCACAGCACTTCTCGCTACGAACCGTCGAGGTCGCGGTAGAGGAGGCTATCGCGGTCGACCGTCACCTGGACGTGGATACAACAGCGGACGTGGAGAAAGGAACAACGGTCGACCGTCCCAGGGAAACGGTCGACCGTCACGGGATCTGCCAACCTGCCAAATCTGCGAGAAACGAGGTCACTCTGCGTCTGCGTG